CGTCATTTTTTGCACAAAAAACGTCCGAACGTCAACAACATACAAAAAAACGTCCAAATTACGTTAAAAACGTCAACCTGGCAACGCTGTCCCTGATGTACCTGATTGTTCTGGCTATACCTGGCCCTAAAACTGACTTCGGTCCAATTGGAAACTCAGATAACGGCAGTTCAACAATTCATCAGTTGCACCTTGCAACGGAGTTCGGCCTGAAAATACATTCCTGGTCTGTTTTTGAATAGGTTCGAACTGTTTCCGCAGCATTTGGAGCAGCTTGGTGGTTACTGCAGACCCTGATTTTATGTCCATGACAGCTTTTGCCAATTTCCGATAGGAAGACCTTTGCAAAAAAAGCAGTAAAGGACCTGAAGTTACCGTCCAGATGCCATCTAGCTTTAGTATCATTTTCAGTATTTGAAGCTAACGATGTACTTTCTTCCCAAGGAGACTCCAGGAATCAGTTTGTCACTAGGTGGCAAAAACAAAAGGTATGAAAGAATGTGTAATAGTTTTCAAATTAAGCAACTGTTTGAAGATAAAATCCTTACATTTGACGACAAAACTGAGCCTTAGATGCCCTTTACTTACTTATTTGCTTAATTTTTATTTCTACAACCAATTTACCCAGCTTGAGAAGAAACAAACACTAACTCCAAGCGTTTTTTATTTTATGAAGACCCGTTAAATAAGTTGCTTTATTTAAACGAGGTTTGTTAATTTTTTTGAACGATTTTGATAAATTTTATTTTTCGGGCGCGGCAACACTGTAGTGACACATTGTTTTTATTGCCTCCTCTTGGATCGCTAAATCCAGAGGTGGCAAATCCAATAAAGTATTAAGAACCGGTTTTGAAATTATACTCATGGCGCCAGAAATGCATATACACATACTCTTTGCAGGCTGTTTAACATAGAAACCGTGGATTTGACCATGGTTTTACGCCACCATACTACAGCGGAGTACGTGACGATTGATCCGATCTATGTATGTATACCCAGGATACCACAGCCGGTTTCGGAGCCCAGGTTTAAAGGTTCTCCGACACTGTCCGATAAATCTCATCGCTCGATATACCTTCAGCTCGACGAGAGTTTTCCATATCAGCTTGGTCTCTAGAGTTACCCCTAGATTTATTACTTTCACGGGAGTAACCGTCAGGTCCTGTTGAAGTACCTTGCAAAGTCCAGCAGACCCTTTAATCATGTTGATATCACTGCAGAAGTAAGAGCTTAATTTGGACGTGCGAATTTGCCTCTTGCTTTCATTCTGCATTTTAAAAGCCCTGTTCAGAAGTCTCTTGGACCTTTTGGTAAGTTCAGCGTTCTACCACGGGAGTGACTTTCCTTCGCCAAAACAACCAATCAAATTACTCGTTGCTATAACTTCGTTGGTTAAGGTTAGATAAATATCTTCTTGTCTTCCGCGCACTGGGGGTTTACACAAGTCAATTTTGCAGATACATTAGCAATACATTCACTTTTTTTTACTAAAGGCCAATTTCACAGTGCGTAGTTAACTCAAAATCGGCAGTTAACTACGCACTGTGAAATTGGGCCTAATACATTGAAACTTCTCTCAATGCTTTCGTCACTGTCTTTACAATGAGAAAACTAATACACATTCATGATTCAATAATATAAGGTTGGATAACCTGGCAGTTGTCTCGCTCCCGCATTCTGCCTTAGCCTGTTTAGCTTTCTTTTTTGATTTATAGAATCTACTACTAAAATACAAGGGGAAATATTGTCTTCGTATAAAAAGTTCAACAGGTAACACTGCCGATATTTTCATCGATTGTTTCGTGAAAATTGATTTCTTATTGCGTAAATTCAAGTAGGAATGGCAAAAAAATCAAAAATAATAAAACTATTTTGAATTAAAACAATAATTTACATATTTATTTGCAGAGTATCGGAGTTATTCAAAAATTTTATTCAATAACCTGCGTTTTACAGCAGCTGTAGCAGGTAAGTTTTGCGTGCTAGGTGAAGTGCAGCCGTTGCTTACTTACAAGTAAGTATACCACCCCATAAAAGTGAAAGTGCAAATATTAATAAAGATCTCTTCTTGTGCTGGTCAGGATCATTTGTGTGTCCGTCCACGTTCGCTGGTGAGGGTATTTTCCCCACTGCAGCCTTTGGTTTGGTCAGGTGGAGAATTTGCATTCATACAAGTTAGTATACCACCCCATAAAAGTGAAAGTGCAAATATTAATAAAGATTTTTTCTTGTACAGGTCAGGATCATTTGTGTGTCCGCCCACCAAATGTGATTCAATTTAAGATATTGAGCACGTAATTTTTAAATGCAACAAATATAATAATTTAAAAAAAATTAATTTATGTATATACATTACATCAATTGCATCTTTACTATTATATACTAGTATATTTCTTCATATCGCACACCGTCTTCAAAAGAGTCACAACTCAAA